TTTATATTTGCCAAATTTTTATTAAAATGCTTGATTGGTCACAGTTTTGGGCAATAGATTAGGTGTACCACCTACTTATAATGTGATGGTCATAAGATGGGGGAGGGCTCTCTGTGCATTAAGAACATGAAAAGAGTGTGTTAACGTTTCTTACTTTATAGTCACTGATGCTGCCCATCGCAATGTAAGGAGTAAAACAAGCTGCCACAGGGATCCAGAAGAAGACATTACTCATGTACCCATACTCGTCAGACAAGTGCTCCTGAAAAGATGCAGAACAGTAGCTGATGGCAACTGGGTACATGGTTCATTGGTACTTGAACTAAATCACTCGAACAAATCAATCAGCCTGACCACCGAAAGTACTCCCCAAGGTTCCGTTCTCCACTTCTTATCGACTTTCATTTTCCAGTCATGAGCTGTAATGACTCGGACACTTAGAACATGCATCCCGATTTCCATATGAAGAAGCAAACTCCACAGGTTGCATGAATTGGCTAAGGTCCCCCAGTTAATAACTTGTGAGGGAAGTGCAAAACTTCTGCCCTCTGACTTCATGATGACAACATCTAGGCAGGTGTTTGAATAGACAATAGAGTTTGTGGACTGTCAACGGAGGAGCCATTTTGCCACTTTTAGAAATTGGTGCCCAATCAGTTCAGTTCCACATTTATGAAGAATCATCCCTCTGGCTCAACATAATGCATAAGTAGCAAATATCCTAGCCTTCGGGGGCCTGGTAGATTCTAAATTAATGAGTAGGTGGGATGTTAGGAAATAATAAAAGTGATGGGGCTTGAAGAAAAGTGGTCAGCACACATTCCACATGAAGGCACTAAATTTAAAAAATGTCAAAGTCCTGTACAGGTTAAAGAGAGCCTTGGGTTTTGCTAGAAGCTTTGATTTGATCTACGACCAGTTGCCTTACTACATTGCAAATTGTCTGAGGTCAGGTAGCATGAGTTTTGAGATCTCCTTACTTCTTTCTTCTCTTTGTCCATCCTAAAACTTAGTGCCTCTCTGAGCTCTTACAACATACAAAACTGCGTGAATATAGGTGCATATGTGGAGATGAGGCCCTAGGGGAGCAAACGACACCAACGACCACATCACCCATTTGACATCTTTACCTACAGCCACCCTTATTGGTGGTCCAGGTATGGAAGATCTCTGGGGATGGAAGAGTCACAATTAGTATCAACTCAACAGCCACCCCCTTACTCACAGCTTGATTCATAAAACACATATTATATCCATGTTAAATTATATCTACCCACAGGGTTCTGTAGTGCTCAGCCTGGAGGGACCCACAGAAAGATCCTTGATGTCAACTGGGTAGTTTGGTCAGATGAGGACATGCAGGGGTGGCTGGTTGCGAACACTTCAGGACACTCTGATAGATGGTTAAGGTCACTGAGTGGGCTCAGATGCTACAGTGAGCTCTGTGCTTTAGGATCAAGGAGAATGGGCTTGCAGAACTGGTAGGAGAATGCCAGATGTTGGATGGGGAAATCAGCAGGGGCAATTCAAAGAGAATTTATCTACACGTGAAGTCAAGGTCAGCTGGGCTGGTGGGTAGCAAATATTTTGCAGTTAATACATCTGTTTAAAGGGAAGGACTTAGATCAGGTGATTTGCTCATTCTTGGAACCACCTTATTTGTGGTTATCCAGATAATTGATTAGTCTCTTCAAATATAATAGCTAATGGAACATATCAGGACCTCTATATGCTGCAGTTTTCTCA